AACATCGTCCTCCAAGATCGATGGCAGTTGTAACATCTGCTGTCATACTTCACTACCGCTTGTTATGTATTTCCATGCGTTCGTCATTATCTTACAACTATTATGGGGACTAACGTATCTTGTAATTTGGAAAGATTAAGTTACTTTGGAGTTTCCCCTTCTGTTTTTGAGGAGTACATATTGAAACGATTGAACGGTACATCGATCCATCGTTATTGCACTCAATACGGCACCTCTATATTCAATCAGGAACATTCTTGTTTGTAATATTTTAGTCACCAGGGTCTAAAATAAAAACATCGGGGATAATACATCCACTTAGTGTTCGAGAGTGAGAGACTAACAAGCCCGTGTATATATTCTGTGATGTACCCTCTTGAATTGTGAACCCGTTACAGAGATGTGGTTCTCCCTCCATGCACACACAGAGAAAGAGGCACAATCCATATGACACAAACATCCCCTATACATACAACAATAAACATGTATTTGTTGTCGATAACCTGTATAATGACACTCTGATTAAATATCGATTAACATTGTTTTCCAAACACTCAACAAACATGTGTAAAAACAGTGTTTAATGTAACAAAAATATCATTACTTGTTGATGGATTTGTTTTTACGACCCGAAACACCCTTTAAAAATAACGATACATTGAGTACCTGTGATCCTTTTTCGTTTAAATCGTTAACTTGTATTGGTATATCTATTATTTTCTAATCTTAGCCCTTTTATTCTAGTACCTGAGTATGCGCCGTGGAACTGTTAGAAGAATAAAAACATAACGTTGAAGAGGAGAGAAAGGTTCAGTTTGCTTCTGTGCAGGACGTTGTATACATACTTATCAACGCTAGGGCGGCGTAGGTGTAGTCGTGGTCGATGACGCTGACAGAAACGATCGCCTTGTGATGATGAAAGAAAAATGAAGATTCCGGAACAGCTCAAACGTCAAATTCTCATCAATCAAGCGTTTATTTCCTCTTTCGAAATGCTCAGCTAATCCCCATGTTTTTCTAGTCTTTTTCTTTTCCCACATATGTGTTTTTTGTACAGCGTGATAGTTGGGGAGCTTGTTTCTGTGAGGTAGAAGGTTGATATTTGATGCCGAGGTGAAGAATATGAACGGATTGAATTTGATGAAATGTCACTCACCTGTGATGTAATTTCGTGTAAAGGATGAAGTTGATGAGAAAACACCCCACGACGGACATGTTCCAACGCTTTGATGTTTGCAACCTACTTTTCCTTATCTAAATTTAGTCACTAAGAAACTCTGTTAGCATATAGACGAATCCGATGTCCATTTTTCCAAAGTTAACTTTAAACGAAAATAGCGTCACTCTGATTGTTACCCCATCACGTTTGCAGACGTTTGATGTTTGTTTGTGCACTTATGTATAATATATTACATGTACGTGCCAATGTGCACTCAAGCTCCGTCAGTCACACCTGCCAGGACAATCAGTTAACCCAAGGTCCCCCTTCATTTCTGCACCGGAAACTGTAACATAACGTATTTGACGAGTCGTCCATCAACACTAATGTAGTTAGGAAGTAGAATTATCCCAGCAGAGAAATCCACAAGGCATACAGCGACAATGGCATATGGACTGTGCTTTTTCGAAGATACATGTTTTTGTTATGGTTGTGGGAAGTTGTTTGAAGCTTTCAAACCAGGGACTCGAACTCCCGTTGACAGGTCTCTGGCGCGAAAGGGACTAAACTCTGCACAGTGAATTTCACTTAGACGACTGGATCCCCGTTCTCCTTGCATCCAATGAAGTAAACATGTCGTTACATTCATTCTCCGTATTTAACAAAATGTAAATATTCAAATGAGCAATAGCAAAATACATACCATCACTGGGACTGGGTGCAAGAGGCATTCGCGTGAAGAGTAGTTCATCAAAGGGAAGTAACTACTGTGAGAATGACCAGTCACGTGTTATCTCGGCAGGACAGCAGCAGTGTTCAGCCATGTGTTGAGGGAATGGACTTTTTATTCATTTTTCGGCGAACCCAACAGATTCGTAATTAATTGAGTGCATCTTGACCAGATAAAATTGGACCTGATGATGAGGAGAGTGACTTATAAATACACTTCTATGAGTAAGGCTTCCTGGATAGCGTCAGTGAGGTCAAGGTCAGAAGTGATGACTCGTACATGATTGTACCAGGCATCTGTTGATGAACCATACAAGCAGACGATGATTTTCTATTCAAAAGTACATCAGAAGTAAGACGTATAGCTGTTATTAGTTTGACGTATGTCTGTAATTCGAAATCAGATTTAGATAAAATTGCTGTTAGCAACAATCTGCTTTCTAAAGATGCATGCACCCAAGATTATTTCAATTTAATGTCACTTGATGCTTTGGGCAATGCCGCTACAACTGCTTAATGAAATCCTAAATCCTTCAACAAATTCTTATTATCATTATGTAATCATTTATCGTATAGTTTAAAATGAATTTCAATGAATCCTAAGTATAATAATCTTGAACTTGTTACTACAAATGGCAACCCCCACCCCTACCTCCCATCCATGACTATATACAAATGGTAGATTGTGTATACTGCATGAAGGAAACCCCATTAAGATACGTTTTTATGTGATGGATCAGATTCTGGATCACTGTCCACACGAGCCCAATCTATTGTCGACTTGTCACTAGAGGCAGTTATATAAGCTGCTGTCACAGCGCCTTTCCACTCATATCTTATCAAAGAGCTTCAAATATCTCACGGTGAAAGCTTTCTGACACATTAACCACAGCAATAACACACACGTACCTCGACAGAGTCATGGAGGGTAGGAACATTTCATTTTCATTGATTCCATATCTGGAAGTTCTGGAGTTAAGGGTGTTAAGTGTATGATATTACAGACTAAATGTTCCCACCAAGAACCGTTGTACTACCGCTATCTGTAGTAGGAACCGTTATAATCAACTGTGATGAACATAGAAATCGAATCACATTTAGATGACTCTCGTCAACGCCATTAGCGCGCTCTAATATTAATATATGTTCAAGAGAGTTCAACAAAAGAGTCTCTACTTTAATACGAACGTACCGCGTCCTACACGCGATGTGAGCGCGTCATTCAGTTTCTGTTGAATTTGTAGTACTATCTGTTCTCGCTCTTCTGTTCTGTTTGTTGTTTAACACCGCACTCAGCAATATTCCAGCTATATAGCGGCGGGCGGTAAATAGTGGAGTCTGGACCAGACAATCCAGTGATCAACACCATGAGCATCTACGCAAATGAGATACGATGACATGTGTCAATCAAGTCAGCGAGCCTGACCACCCGTTAGTCGTCTCTTACGACAAGCATGAGTCTGACCACATGATCCCGTTAGTCGCCTTCGATTCTAACCTGGATCTTAACGGGTATTGTTCTCACTAATTACAGCTGGGACAACAGTCACTTTTCTACACAATACCAGTAGGACAGCACATGCTTACCAGGAGTCATAACCAACATTCACTGATCCATTCAACAAATTCTCACCACTATTTTGCACTTTGCAGAAAATGAAATCTGTTTTTCATTTCTGGTGTCCCCCGCCGTGATATTGCTGGAATATTGCTAAAAGCGGCGTAAAACCAAACTCACTCACTCACTATAATTGTGATTGTATATTTTCTCTGTATCATGAAGAGTACAACCTTTATCCACGGCCTCCATAAGGACACCTACTTAACCAGCAAGCTGCTGGGAGTCACGGAGTTTATCGGCCATAAAGTTAATTGACCTGTCACAATCGTGTGAAAAACGAGAATGTTACTCCATCGCTTGTTATTTTGACGCAAGACCCCGAAATGAAATGGCTCAAAACGATTAAACTGCTGTATTTGTCCTAATTTGATTTCGATAGGACTGCCGGGTTTTGTAGAATTATATATAATGTACCATTATCTCTCATCACTTGGTGTTGGGTGTACTGCACTGTTTATGTGATGATGAGCATCAGCCTGCCTCAGTAGGGCTGCAGAACTATCAAACGGTTGATGAAGATGCAACGGTGATAGAAAGGTCACCAAGTCTGAAGCAAGGGCGTGTCCTGGGACGGCCGTCTTTTCATTAGATATATCAGTGTGATCATACTCATATGTTACGCGGTCTCTGTCTGGGACAAATATTGTGTAATACTTTACACAGATAGAAATTGAAAACGTCTTGCTACCATTTGGTACAGAGGTATCATGTATCTCAGGTTCCAAGTTTTTTAAATGCTGTCATAATGTTGGGGGTGAATGGGTTTTTTTACTGAATAATGTCCTGGAGTATATTTTACACACACACACACACACACACACACACACACACACACACACACACACACACACACACACACACACACACACACACACACACACACTGTTAATATCTACCCTTTGGTTCGTCGCATATTGCACCTCTATTTTGTGAACATATCGGGGGGGGGGGGGATTATTTAGTGCACACGGATCATCTGACCGGAGTACTAGTGCTTTAAGCACGTTTTAGTGTCTTTTATATGGCTTTGGTACCAAATAATACCTACAGTACGAACCTCGAACAAAGAGGATTTAGTCAAGAACTTTTGTGGATGAAGTTAATATTCAAAGACGAGAAGACATAAGCTGGATCTGTTACCAAAGAAAGACGTCCTTCTGGGAAATGCTTTGCTAACTAAAGACAGGCTTTACAGATCGATGACGAAAAGGCCTTAATAACGTGATCAAAAACACCAAATAATGTATTGTTGCCCCAGTTTTTGAGGAAAGGACACATCGTATCTGACAGAATAGAGACGATATTTCTTCGAATTACTGTTGTTCTTGTTTAACACTGAAAGATCACAGGTTTGGATTTATTTTTATCAGTACAAAAGGAAACATCTGCAGTGTTTGCTATATTTGCAACAGTGAAAGAAAAACAGAACAGATCCATCAGTGATGATGTAGTAAGATGATTTATGAAGCTTAAGTACAGGACAATCTCTCCTCTGTCAACATCGGCTAAAACACGTGGAAGTATTAATTCGTGTATGGAATCCACGAAGCCAGGTGAGATCGACAGATGGTGATCAGAGTTACGTACATCTGACATTAATTTCAGTTTACTTTAACCTCTGTCTTGCGCCTGTTACTACGTGTCCATGACACATACGTGTGTCACAATGATACTTGTCCTCGGCTGTCTTCTGACACAGTGTCCTTCTTGCATCTACATCCTCCGAACAAATATAAGAAATGTAAGTAGGGCACATTTACGCTGCTTGGTGAATTGCTCAGCGAATTGTCCAACTTCTGTACATGAAATGAAGACTCAATGTGTCATCATCACGCCTGTTGTAATTGGTGGACATGTTCCTTATATCACTTCCAGTCTGAGAAATCCACAACAGGAATGACAACATGGGAAAAAAACGTGTAACAGACTGACCGCTGCCATTACCAAGTATGTCCGTTTTGTACTGATCGTGATGTGCTGTGACTCAAGAAACAGCAAAGAAATTGCTTCAGGTATATCGATGATCTGATGTCGTTCAATAACCATCAAATAGCAAATCCCCTTCCACTGATGTATCCACCTAAACTTGAAATTAAGGAGACAAGTGAGACCGCCTCAGCTGTTTCATATTTTGATCTATGTATAAAGATTAAGAGTCACACAGAAACTCTCCACTTGGCTGTATGACAAAGGGGGTGACTTCAACTTTCGGATAGCCACCTTTCCTTTCATGTCGAGCAATATTCCAACAGTTCCAGCCGTTGGTGTTTACAATTCTGTTCGCAACTTCTGAAGTACAAACGAGCATAGTGTTTTGCCAAGATTTCAAGAAGATCAGAAATTGTTCGACCAAGGTTATAGAGTTCAAGGCCTCAGTAAAGCTTTCAAAAGGTTTTATGTCAGACAAGTGGATGGTATTTCCAAATTTGATGCATCAGTGACAAAACAAAGGAATGCCCTATTTTGACTTCTACGATACTTTCCCGAAACTTCCTGGTGACAATTGATTAGACTTTGCATATGTTGATGACGGGTGCCATCGGTGGGGCAGGACACTCATCTTTTCGCGAATACCTGGTATCATCACTTTTCGATAGTTATAAGCACATGCTCCGTCATCGTACTGCTTTATTCAGCAACAAATATATTACTTTGATTCTAGCAAATATTTCTTATGGATGTAGAAAGGGTTTTGTCACTTCTATTTCCATACTGAAAAATATATACACTAGTATCACGTGTATTTGATAGGATATATAACTTACTTGATTAGTTGGCCAGAAATTCCAACGAGTGTTTGCCATTCCTTGTCATGAATGGGAAGTGTTCGCCATAACAGAATCTGTGTGCATTATAATTCTCCACATCAGTATAAAGGGTCACTGACGACATGTGACTTATGAGATTAGTTGTCAAGACAATATCAGTAATCCCATTTCCACTCATTATCATGCCTGGGAGACGCTCGAAGCTATCATGATGTATAGCTAACCAATCTGCCTAGTTCCACGTCAATCAGCAGTGTTGACATATATTTCCTATCAACTATTTGTATTTATGACCAGGAGAATAACACTTTCCTATGAGGAAAATGACTGTCAAATATTTTGAAATAACAGTGAACCGTTTAGTGGATCCTACTTTGGAAATGTGATCCTCGCTGTATTATGTAGGTTTTGTCATCGAACCCGCCAGCATCAGGTCCGTACAAGCCTTGGCAAGACAACTATGTACATGGATTTACCGCTTCTCGTGAGATTAGACTGAAGCATAAGTTTATAAGAACATCAGCCAACTGAGACAGTTTTAAGCACCGTGAGAACACTTCTGCACCGATAGAAGATCTGGAAATTGATCAGTAAATCCTCATAGAACGCAATGTTACCACATCGTTATTGTACTAAGTAGTTGTACAAACACCACGAACCACTTTAAGGACGTGGTGATTCAACACACTGAAATCTTGTTTATCATCAGTTCGCAACTATTTGGAAAAGAAGCGTCAATGGAGACACAGTTAAAACGGGAACCTTATGCAAACCTGTGAACATTTTCCTCACACCTGGACATTCTGGACAAATGTTCTGTCAGTTGCAATAACAACAACAATTTCAATTTAAACTACCAGCAAAACTCTTGACCTGCTTTATGCGCTACTTAATGTTTCATTCGTCCAGACTTTGGAGTCTTGAGGCTACCAACGTGGTAAAAGTCAAGAACAGGTGTCACAGGCTATCTTCTTACATGTGTATACTGCTGGCTGGGTGTGATGTATATGTAAGTGAATACTGTTAGAATGGGCGCAGGTCTTAGACCTTTACGATCTTAGTTTATTGTTCAATTCAAATATCAGAAAAACGTATATCCTCTTTCAGCTTGCAATCTGCAACTGCAACTAATTTTCATTTATTATCTGCCAGCCTGACACAAAAACAATAACAGTGTTGGTGCGTGGGACGACTCTACACTGTATGTCGTGAGGTTCTGCAATGGCTTAATGCTTGACTTGTTCATATATATATTGTTGTAACTCCGGATATCAAAGATAAATGCACCCATACACGTCGCTGTCAAAATATGATAACACATAGGTAACTGTTTGTTCCTTCAGACACACGTTTCAATGAAGGTTGATGAAAACAAGACATGTTTGCTCAGGGAGCAGAGAATAGCATGTGTGATAACTTGTGAGAATTTTCAAAATGTGTTGCGAGGTTCTTCACTGCCACTATGGCAGAAGAAACATTTTATATTTAAAAACATTAAAACTTTTACAATAAAACTTTATCAAACAGCTTCCTGGCGTGTTAGATATAATACCTTTATGACAGTTATAGAAACTTTGGCAGATCCATCAGTGATGGTGTTGGAACCTTGTGTCTTCATCTCGAGAAGGTTTACGTAACTTCAGCACAGGACAGTCTCTCCTCTGTCAACATCTGCTAGACCATGTGGTAGTAGTCATTTCGAAAGAAACCTAAACAGACAGATACGATCGATAGCTGTAGATCGGAGTTGCATACATATTATATTTTCTTCACGTTTAACTCGCGTCTGGTGCTTGCTGACTATTCTACAATTTCCATAAGGCTTTTCTTCTTACAACTGAAAATTCTCTGATTCTCTGAGTTTGTCAAAAACCAACGATACCTTACCAAGAATATCCTTTTCAAACATATCATTGTGTAGGCAGCAGTCTAGCATAACTGTAACACCATAGACATCTTATTCTTCGATACATACCCTTGTATATTTTATCTTTAATTACACGACCATTCAAGAATGCCATGCCTCATTTATCCCATAAACATCAGACTGTCCGAAAACACTTTTTATTTTAATCTAACCATGAAACGATTTTACGCATAAATATAACTTTTCTCCACAGCAGTATCAAAGGTCGTTGATAATGTGTGTAACTTATGAGATTAGTTGGCAAGAAAATCTGAGCAGTCCCCTATCCCTTCCTTCCTTAACATTCCTTGGAGATGCTTGTCTCACCAGAGTTGCTCGAAGCTGTCTTCACATCAATGGTCCGTGTTCCACGTTAACCAATAGTTGTTGATCCATGTTTCCTATCATTGATTATATTCTTGATCAAGATAATCACACATTCCTTTGAGGATAGAAATGTTTGATATACACATATATGTGTCTGATAAATCCTCGGAATTTGCCAAAGTGGTGTCAAACGATATATAAAATATTACATTTGTCTCATAATTCTAGTCATACATTGGAGTCATTTTTGATTATAAAGACTCACCTATTTCATGTTTTCTTATGGTGTTATATTTCATCAAAAACATGAAATACATATTTTTTAAAGTTATTGGTCGTGATGTAAGACATCATCCGTTCTGTTTGAGGAGAGGACAAGGTTCACTGTGTGGCTCATGTACTCTGAAAATTATTAAATAGAGCCAAATGGGGTCTTTTTAATCTTTGTGAATTGTTCTTATTTCAGTTTAGATCTTTTAACAAGAGCGAACGTATGATAGTTAGAGGAATCCATCGGCATGTGTTAATATACTGGGAATTGTTCAGGTTCCGGTACAAAAACCGAGGTTCAAATGAGGATGGGGTCCAGCGTAAACTCACAAACCGTTCATATTTTCTTTGTGTACACATGGGATGTAGTGAAAAGGGCAGCAAAGAGCGTCAAGCCAACGTCAACTTCATTACGGATTCGGAGGTGGATCTTGTATGGTTTTGGATAACGTCACGGCGATAGAACGAGACTCCATATTGTGCAAGGAAGGGTCGCTAGATACGTCTAGCGGGATGACATACTGACATCGTTTGTGTGTCCCGTTTACAAGGCAGGTGGTTCGACATTTTTTCTTTCAGGACAACAATGCATGTGCTCACCTATCGTCAATGCTCCACACTCATAGGATGTTATGGCCAGCAATGAGTGCAGACCACCCCCCTTTGAAAACACCTGGAACACAACAGGGAGACATGTTCATCTCATCATAGACCACCAACTTAGTTGACTGAATTTGGACAGGGGCTGCAAGCAAGTGGGAAGCCCTGAAATTGCCTTTTCTGAGACTCCAACATGTACTCAGTATTCGAGCGATGAAATTTACAAACCAGCCTCTCTTGCAATGTGGTTATCAGATGTTACTTTCGAGTGTCCCTTCTAAAGAGTATACAAATGTATATGCAAACCGTTAGACGGGACCAGTCTATAGAAAAACGCTGCATATTTGTGTATTTGGTTCACATTCAGTCTGCAAGCAAGGGGAGTTAATACTCAGTGCATGTAACAGTGTTAATAGCGCACGATACATCGATCCTTCATAATTTAACTCAGATCCTTTCTGCAACCCCTCGTCTATATTCAATCAGGAACACGCCTTTGTGTGAACAGTTGCGTTGTACTTTGTTGCTGGTGATCTCAGCAAAGAGCCAATGTGCGCTCAAACTGCGTCAGTGAATAACTGCTGTCTCGCATGTGCAAATGAAAACTGACAACATGCAAATGGCACTACAGGTGTCATTTTAGTGTTATGTTCTTGTTGCAGCAACCTGTGACAAACAGTCAGCTCAACTGTCAGTTTGCAAACCCCACTGAATTTGGAGCAGAAGTGTTCTGTTAAATCTGCTTATTACAGGAATCGTGTGACGTGCATTCCCGGCCATGTGCCGACTTTAGACATGTTGTCTCAGTGTAATTACATTGCTGACTGTTAGTTCTGCCTATGTGGCAAGAGTCCTGTTGTGTCATTTGTCAAAACATTAAACAAAGATCTTATGCGAATGTTGATCAAAATCCGATGCCAATCACATAACTTGAATATACAAAAACAACGTTTTTCAAAGATAATTGTCCCATATAAAGAATTAGTTTGTAACAAATGTACTTTAAACGTGCTTGAAGACGAATATCACTTGTTGCTAATATGTCCATTTTATAACCGATGCAGATCCCAATGTATTCCAGCCTATTTCTACAACCCACCTTCAATTGTCAAATTCCGAGCCCTTATGAAGATACACAGTGTCACTGTTCTTAAAGGAATATGTATATTCCTGAAGCAAAACCTACGTTAAAATAATTGTATTATGAATTATATTTCAACTCTACACACCATGACAATGTTGTATTACCACATGGCCTTCAATTCTGAATAAAGTGATCAAAGTGATCAAAGTTAGCATGAGTCCATTGACTTGCTAGCAAATGACTTTGTCTCTGAGGTATCCGGCTCCTTGATATTGAAATAGACAAAATGAGTATTTCAGTCATCAAAAACTTTTCCATAAAGTCAGTCACCAACGAAATATTGATAAATAGCTGTATGTTGTTCAAAGTGAGACTGAACCTACAATTAAAACGGGGGGTAAGTTTTCCGAAGAAGAGATGGAATATGAATTTGACAATGGAAGGTGACTGTGATGAAAAATAGTTTTGTTCGCAGCTTTTCCTATTTCAGTTTTATGTATGTTGTACTCAATGTACATACCGTAACCAGCACAATAGCAGACAATCCGCTGGGTTAACGACTCAGTTCTACACCAGAACGTATTTGACGAGTCGTTTATCAACACCAATGCTATGGTGGCGTGAAGGTCAGAGACGCCACTAGAGATATCCACAAAGTATCAAACGAATGAGTGAGTGACGCAAGTCTTCAATAATCTACCTCAAAAGTTGTTTGATTTAGGATACCACATTCAGGGCCCCAGTAAAGCTTTCAAGTGCTGCCTTGTGTAGTTTGCGCAAAAGTCATTCAGGCATCGTTGTGATTCATTACATTTTTAATTGTTTATACCAATTCAAAAACAAAACGACACATTGGGTGCCGAATATCTGGTCTTCAACCGGCAAATTTAAAGCCATTCGCCGCAGCGACTCGTATGTAATTGTCCCGAATCAATGATTCCCTTTTGCCGCGATTGAACCCACTGGTTTTCTAGAAAAGCCTTGCATCCATACCTCTAAAATGCGTGAATGGGTCCGTCAGATCCACTGAAAAACTCTCCTTGGTCGCGCACTGAGCAATATTCTAATTATATGGTGGCGGTCTGTTGATAATCCAGTGATCAACAGCATGAGCATCGATCTACGCAATTTGGAAACGATGACATGTGTCAACCACGTCAGCAAGCCAGACCACCCGGATCTTCAAGGGATTGGTCCTGGACGAGACGCGAACTGCTCGCTCTCTGGTAGGGACCGAGAAGGCGTTTTACAACTGTAGTCTATTGACCATTGTAATTGGAACATTCGGTATTTTTCTGCTGTAACATCTAAATATATTAGGCACGTAATGTTTTAAACATAAGTGCACAAACACACGTCAAACGTCTGTGTGCGTGACGCATCAAACTGGCGTTATTTTCGTTTAAAGTGTACCTTCGAAATAATGACATCGGATCTGTCTATACTCTAACAGAGTTTCTTAGTGACTTTACTTAGATAAAGAAAAGTAGGCTGCAAACATCAAAGCGTCTGAACATGTCCGTCGTGGGGTGTTTTCTCATCAACTTCATCCTTTACATGAAATTACATCACAGGTGAGTGACATCTCATCAAATTCAATCCGTTCATATACTCCACCTCGGCATCAAATATCAACCTTCTACCTCACAGAAACAAGCTCTCCCACTTTCACACTGTACGGAAAACACATATGGGAAAAAGAAAAAGACTAGAAAAACATGGGGATTAGCTGAGCATTTCGAAAGAGGAAATAAACGCTTGATTGATGAGAATTGGACGCTTGGGCTGTTCCAGAATCTTCATTTTTCTTTCATCATCACAAGGCGAACGTTTCTGTCAACGTCGTCGACCACGACTACACCTACGCCGCCCTACCGTTGATAAGTATGTATACAACGTCTTGCACAAAAAAACTCAACCTTTTTCTCCTCCTCAGCGTTATCGTTAAAACTCTTTAACAGCCACACAGGTGCTAAAAATAATAGATCTACAAATAGAAAATAATAGATCCACCAATGCAAGTCAACGATTTCAACGAAAAAAGATCACAGGTACTCAATGTCTCGTTATTATCAAGGGGTGTTTCCATTAACAACTGATGATATTTCTGTTACATTAACCACTGTACACTTTTTTGTGTTTGGAAAAAAGGTTAATCGATGTTTAATAAGAGTGCTATTATATAGGTTATCGACAACAAATATACGTTTATTGTTATATGTATATTGCATGTATGTATCTGATTAATTTTGCCTCATTCTCTGGTTATGCATGAAGGGAGAACTATAGCTCAGTGACGAGTTCTTCAATTCATTTGAGACAACACAGCACATATACACGAGCTTGTTAATAAGTCATTACCGAACACAGTAGATATATTATTTCCAATGTTTTTATTTCAGACCTTGATGACTGAAATAATACACATAAGAGTGTTCCTGATTGAATATAGAGGAGCTGTACTGAGTTTAATAACGAAGGGTCGACAAATGTATTGTAATATTTTGTATTCCCGATCCGTTTGACGCCGCCACATTGGAATATTCAGAGGACTTACTGGACACATATATGAAACATTTCAAATACCTTTGATATTGCTGTGGAGAAAAAGTAATATTTATGCGCAAAACAGTTTCACGATAAGATACTTAAAAGATCGGACTGTGCAATGTTTTGGTGATAAGTGAGGAATGGCTTTCTTGAATGGTTGTGTAACTAAAGATAACATGTACAGGGGCATATATATGGAATAATATCTGTCTATAGTGTTACGGATATGTTAGACAACAGCCTATACAAAGATATGTTTTCAGATAGGTATTTTGAGTAAGGCATCGTTTGTACTAGACAAAATCAATCAAACATATCTCGCTTAATTAATCAATTAAAACATAATACTGTATTTTATTGTTTATACTTATTCAAACGCATAAACAAACTTTGGTGTTAATGTCATAATTTTGCATTTATTTAACGTGTTCTCACATCACTTTGAATGAAGTTTACATTTCATATTTTTATGAGATAATGTTCAGCACCCAGAAATGCCTCATGGAAATTGTTGAATAGTGAGTAAGTAGTAGACGTGGGTTAAAAGTGAAGGAAATGTAATATGTATGCAACTCCGATCGCCAGCTATCGATCGTACCTGTCTGTTTAGGTTTCTTTCGAGATGGCTACTACCACGGGGTCCAGCAGATGTTGACAGAGGAGAGGCTGTCCTGTGCTGAAACTACGTAATCCTTCTCGAGATGAAGACATAAGGTTCCAACATCACCACTGATAAAGTTTCTATATCTGTTATAAATGTATGTAATCTGACACGCAAGGAAACTGTTTGATAATTCAAGGTGGATTTTAATGTTTCTTGTGCCTTGATTATACCATGAAGCCTCACAACAAATTTTGAAAATCCTTATAAGTTATCACACAGGGTATTTTCTAGTCCCTGAACATACATGTCTATGGATTTCAGGAAACTGAAATGAGTGTCCGGACGACGTAAGAAGTTACCGATGTGTTGTCATATTTTGACAGCAACGTGAACGGATTCACTCATCCTTGAGGTCACAACATACATATGAACAAGCCAATCATTAACACATTGCAAAACCTGCCGAGTTTTCTTAAGTGCGTTTAGACAGTGTAGAATTGTCCCTAACACCAATAGTGTTATTATTTTTTGTCTCAGATTGATACACAGTAAATATAATGTCGTCTTAAATTACTTAGAGTAAGATTGCAAGGTGAAAGACGATACATCTTTGATGTCGAACACGGTCGATTGGTCAGCAATTCATGTAGCTCAGGGAAAGACCATATGTGTATATCGAGCACAGGGTGGTCAGTCAAGCATCTCCCATGCATGATGGTGAGTCGACAGCAGTGTACTGGTATTTACTTGACAACTAGTCTCATAAGTCACATATATCGTCAATTACCCTTTATACCGATGTGGAGAATAATAATTTACACAGATTCTGGTATGA